TGAAGAATTTGGCAACACACTCGGGTTTGGGAAGCAGCCAACTGTTGCTGTTACTGTCTCTCATGAGGATTGCCTGTGGTAGAGAAACTTCCCAGGAATAAATATTTTCGTCGTGGCTGAGCAAGAAATTCCAGTAAGGGAAGGTCCACTATGTATTCCTTAGAAGTGCCATTTCATTGCACATGTAGTATCCACACTGAAGGACAGTCAGAGACCTTCAGTGAGGACAGAAGTTTGCATATAAGATGTAAAGAGCAGCTATGACATTCAGAGAGCACAGTACAGCCAGGAAGATTTCCACAGAGGACTATTAGGTTGATAAACACTGAATGGAGGCCAGAGATGAGGAAAGGTAGGCAAGGCAGGAGTGAATGGTCAAGTAGAGTGTAAATGAAAAGACAGGCAGCACTTTTTCTCTCCACCTCCCAACCCCAAGTGTGCCAAAGGTTATGAACTGGGCAATATTTGGTGACAGAGAAAAAAAGGCCTGAAAGGGAATTAATGTGTATTTTCATTAAAATAAGTTGAAAGCGAAGAAGAGGGTAGGAGGACACTGGTATCCATCTTTCTTCATTTCCCAGATGTTTCCTGGTTGACAGCCATATCCTGGGACTCTGATGCACAGTGCATTTTAGACTCTGATCTGCTCTCTCTAGTGGGACAGTCTGTTCAGTAATGTTAAGATTCAAGAAAGAACAGATTTGGGGAAAGGACCCAGTCGTGCAGGCAGATACCCCACTCTGTCTTCCTTTTCTTACTGGAAATCGGGAGTAGAATGCTGCTTGCTATGAGCCACAGAGCTTCTGAGGCTGCTGGGTGAATTTGAGGCTGGGTGCCTGGACATGATGTTCCCTGAGCAATGGGAAATGTCTGCTCCATAGGCAGGTTCTGATGTACCAGCCCACTCACCCACCCACGGCTGACGTCCTTGAGAGCACTTTAAAGCCAAGCTTACCCTGGGTTTTCATTTGCTTCTGTAAGGTGCATGTGTGGTCAGGGGAGATTGTGGAGGTTGTGGAGCATCCCCAAAACTCTGGGCTTGAACTTGTCCTTTTTCTGTCCTTATTTCTGTCTTCACAATCACATGGTCCCATGTGCACCCGACTTTCTTCTACTGATGGACAGAAATTCCAAGTATTCAGCTGGCTGCTTCAGGTCTTTTCTTGCAGATCAAATAAGCATCTTAAACTTCTATCTGGAGCTAAGCTTTTGATAGAGAAACCCAATCCGTCCAACGCAGTCTTCTGCCTTACTAAATGGTGACTCTGTTCTTCAAAGGACTTGAGGCAAAATTCTTGTTTCATTTGGTCACCACCCCATGGCTCCTCAACTCTGCCAGGGAAATATCTCACCAATCCAACCACACCTTACTACCTCCACCGTCCAAACCTCCTCTGTTTTCACCTGGACTGTTGGCTCTGACTCTATCCTTCTGTACCTGCTCCTGCCCCCTTTCTTTATGAATGTCTGGGCTCCATTCTCTGTGCATCAACTCAGTAGACATCTGTGAAAATGTCCCAGTGCTTCGCCATGGCAGCCCAAGCTATCGAATATAATGCCTGCACTTTCTGCTCTGTTCTCCACAAACCCTCAGTCTCACCCCTGGGCTTCCTCCCTGCTCATCCCCTCCCCTCAGCCACACCATCCTCCTTTTGGTTCTTGAATGCCCTTGTTACTCCCCCTCTTCATGGTCCCATCAAGAAGCAGGTGGCACCCTCAGGCTGAGGGGACTTTGAGAAGGTTCTGTTACACTGCATAATGCTGTCCCCCAGGGTTTGCAAGTAGGTGATATATATTTCTCCACACACTGGCAGCCTCTGGCTATTGGCTATTGGATAGTTATCCCTGAGTGGTTTCTGAAGAAATGCTCCACTGAGTCCCTGAGATGTTGCAGTTGTCAATTCCCATTCTGCCCATTTTCAAGAACTTCATTGATTTTGCCAGAATTCCAGATAACAATGAGGACTCACAGTCCTGCTGCCATGGTCCTCGGGTTGATGGTGGTGGTCCAGTGAAGCCACTACAAACTCTGCAGGGGTCCTCTATGTCTGGAGAGGTCCCCAGTAGATCACTCACTCTGTGTGGGCTGTTTTGTCCTGTGTTGTACATGATTGTATAGGAAGACACTGGCAGTCCCAGTGACACAGAACAAGTGTAGCATTAGACTGAATAGGAGCCATTTAAAATGCATTAGCTCAGTGGACAGAGGCCCTAGCTGCCAAACTTGGCAGCCTGAGCTTGATCTTGGAGTCCACATGGTGAAGCCTGTTCTCTGACCTCCTCATGTGCACCACAGCATGAGTGTGTATACACATGTACACATACACACACACCCATGCTCACATGCATACACATGCACACACACCCATGTTCACATGCATACACACACATACACACATCCATGCTCACATGCTTACACACATACCCATACTCACATGCACACACAAATACCCATGCTCACATGTATACATAAACACACACACACACACAAAAATACACACACCTATACTCACATGCATACTCACACACATATACACACCCATGCTCACTTGCATACACACACATACATACACCCATACTCACATGCAGACACACACACATACACACACCCATACTCACATGCATACACACAAATACACACACCCATACTCACATGCATACACACACATATACACACCCATGCTCACTTGCATACACACACATACATACACCCATACTCACACACACACACATGCTCATATGTATACACATGCATACACACACATATACACACACCCATGCTCACATGCACACACACACACCCATGCTCACATGCACGCACACACACACACACACACACCCGGTGCTCAAATTTATACACACACACACAAATAAATAACTATAAAAGCATGCAAATGTACTAATTATTTCTGGAATTTTCCCAGTTGTATTGTCAGATAGTGGCTGGCTGAGAACCTAAAGTGAGCTCACTGAAACAGTAGAAAGGGGGATTACTCTAGTCACTGACTCAGGTGAGGATAGTGACCGCAGAGTCACAATTGCTACCTGTCTGGTGTGCATGAAGTGGTGGGCCTCTGGAAGATGACACAAAGTGAGAGAAGTATTGCTGTTGCTCTTTCTCAGGATTCTCAATCTAACAAGTATGACAGAACAGAGTGTGGGAGCTGCTGACACACTCCTGTGATACCGGCTTAGTGGTCTTTTGTGACTACTCATGTTTTCCATTAGCCTTACCTGGCGACCTTTATCCTATGATGTCTAATTACCATTGCTTCTGATTCCCTCTGCTGAGTATTGCTGTGCCCATGACTTTTAACTTCTTCAGGTAATGGCATGTACTTAGAAATGTTTTAAATAGGCTGGTCATAGAGACATCATTTGATGTGCACACCAGCTCCAGAGCCTTCTGCTTTCAGACTGTGACATGAGATTTCCTTCCCCTGGTGGCCCATTTGTCTTCCAAGAGGGGGGGAGGAGACAGTGGCAAGGAGGTCCAGTGCCTGGACCTAGGACTGGTTACTCTCAACAGAGTGGCAGACACTTCCTGATGGGCCTCTTCCTTTGCTCCTTGGTGTATACTCACACACACACACACACACACACACACACACACCGCACACACGCACACACATGCACATGCGCACACACGCACATGATCTCCCCTTGAATTAACTCTCCCCCGGCATTCAGTCACACCATGTGGTTGTAAGTAGAGATCCGTTATGAATGGACTGATGTGTTTGCCAAGAGTGGAAAACAATCTGACAGGAAATGTGGAGAGAGGCTGCCTCCTCCTTCAGCACGCAGGCACTGTTGACCTCCATTGAGTCGTTTACTTTACCCAGTTCTTTTCTTGGCTGTGGTTCCAATTTACCTATAAAACACTATTTGAAAATGACCAGAGATGATGGCAGTGGGACCTCATAACCGGACTCAACAGAATTTCTAGCTCTGGATGGGATCGGGGCAACGGGACAAGTGCAGAATGGGCTTTCTAGGAATCTTTCTGTGTGTCCCTGCTGACTCAGAGTCCTAAAGACAAAAGGGAAATGAATGCTTCCCCTAACTAATGGGCTTCCTGTTAAATTACAAATGAATTGGCCTTTTTGGTGTCATCTGCCCTTGGATTGTACTCTGATCCAATCACCTTATGACTCAGTGGAACTCTTTTGGCCTGCAATTTGCAGTTCCCTTCAGAGGCAAAATGGAAATTATATTGAACAATGAGGATGACCAACCCCTGGAATATGCTAACTTTTCCAGGTTGAATTTCAGTGAGAGGAAAATGGAAGCAAGGAGATGGCTTGGGTGATTAATTTAGTTTTTTTAATTTCTTTGTTAGAAATTTTAAATATTTGGTTTATTTTACTGTTTGTGTAGTTGTTTTGCCTGTGTGCCTGTATATCATATTTGTGCCCACTGTCCACAGAGGTCAGAATAGGGTCTTGGACCCCTGGAGCTGCAGGTAAAGATGGTTTTGAGCCACTGAGTGGCTCAAATGAAACCCAGGTCATCTGCAAGGGCAGCAATGGCTCCCAACCTCTGAGGCATCTCTGTATCCCTCGAGTGATTAGTTTAAACAGAGCCCTTTTGAGATTATATTTGTCCTTTTTTCTAATCAGTGTTTGTTTTGTTTACTTTTTCATTTTAACTTGGGTTTTTGCTTTACTGGCTTTGCTTGCATGAATCAAATGAACAGGCTAATCACTGAGCTCTTGCCACCAGCCTCAGTAACCCACACAGAGGAAGTCTTCATGGTGTACACAGGCCCCTTGAGGTCTGGTCTTCTAATTCTGTCAGTTATACCTCATGTATGACCTGAGGAACATTTCACAAGACAGGAAATGTGAATTCTTCCTCCAAAGACAGACGACATGGATACAAGAGGAGAAGGAAAATGAAAGAGTTTAATCCCATCACTGACCATGGCTGGCCTGAAAAACCTACCAAGAGTTAAAGTTAAATAAATTCCCTTTCTTGCAATTTATCTCTTTCAGACAATCAGACCAATGTCTTTCTCTGTGGTCCTTCATCCAGCCTTCCTCTTGGTAGTGCTGTCCCTGAAAACATCCCTAAGTGAAGGTAAGAATCCAAAAAAAAGTAAAGGACATGTAAAGATGAACCAACTGGCATTTTGGAGAAAAGCCATTTCCTTTGCCTGGAGTTGGTGATTAACTCACATGAGATGTGGTAAATTTCTGGAAGCCACCATTGCCTTGGGTGTGGCCTCCCTCATCCTGATGGCACCATTAGTAAGACCACTCCTTAGCTTTGGTTTCCTGCTCAGTGTTCTGCTCATTGCGGTGGTTGTAAGTGGATCTAAGACTACAGAGCTTCAGGATTGCTCTGTGTTATATAGACCATTGCCATGGTATTTCCTTCCAAACCCTGCTGGGCAAGATGGAGCAGCCCTGTTCTGGTGGCTGGGTTAGAACAAGTTTTAATGCCCCTTAGCCACACTTGTTGAGAGCTGTTCGGCTTATAAAATATGACTGAAAGCAACTGTGGTCTGGGAAACACTAGAAACTCAAGTATGTACAAGGTAATATGGGATAGACTGAACTCTGTTTGCAGTCTGAGAAATAATGTTTGTCAATTCTCTGTCCCAGAAGACCATAGTTTGGAATAAATCAACTTTGTAAATGCACACACATGTGACTACTTTATCAAACGTGTACAGATATTTTATTACTTTCAACTTATTTAAACATAGGTTCTTAGACTTGAAAGTGTTTCTCTTAGTGAATTAATTTCCCCTGCATTTGTCCATATCGGATAAAACTTACACTTTTTGTCCTGTATTTATTCTTTGCTGTGTTTCCTTTTTAACAAAAAGTACAGACATAGTTCCATGCATGGATTTGAGAAACTGACACTTGCAAAGGATACACACAGAGTTCCTCATTTATCTCTAGGAACTACAAGATATATGGAAAAGAAGAGATTTAATTTAGTTCTGCTAATAGCTCAAGTTCTGCCTCACATCATTTCAGTCTAGGTTTGGTTTTGGCATATGAGAATATACTATTTCTTCTGACTTCTTAAGCACCAGTTAATTGAGCTATTCCATAAGCCAGGTCTGCCAGGAGATGAGGCTCTCTCGTTGGTGGCCTGGGTAGCTCCCTCAGTCTGTCCTGATGCTGGAGTCAAGTATACTGCACTGATTAGGGAGGCTGAAGATGGAGAATGTTCCAGCCCAGATCAGAGCCCCTGGTTCCGAGACAGCCTAATGCACCAAGACCTTGTGGAGGAGCACTCCAGAGTATTCACTACACTTTTGCCACAGGTTGTTCCCCTAGCAGAGTCTCATGATGTGTGACCTGACTGTTTGGTCATGGTGTATCTTCTGCATGTGAAACGTTCTGTGCTCAGGTCAGTCTTCACAGCTTAGTTTCCATTGTTTAGATCAAACATGTTTCCCTAATTTCCTGGCAACCCAATTTCCATTTCTGCTTCCAACTTTCTTTACAAAGCAGGGTTTCCTTGGTAGATCTTAGTCTTCACCAGAACTGTGGGGACTTTTTTTCAATGCCTGCTGTGTACTACACCTCCACTCACACTAGTGAGCTCGCCACTTAATCAACTAACCAGGCTCAGTTCGGAGACTGCAAATAGCCCTACCTAACGTCTTCCAAGCAATATGTAAGAGGTTTCAGTTAGCCCTGTGCATGTTTCCATCAGCCAGAGGAGATAGATGACTGTAGCATCTTGGTGTATTTTTTTTCTATCTTTAGGATACATATATAAAAGCTGGAAATAAGTGGAGATTAATTGTTTTATGTTCATTTAGGTGTGTGAGTGTGTGTGTGTGTGCATGAGCAAGTGCATGCTCACATGTATAGGAGTTACACGCATACACATGTCACAATACATGTGTGGAAGTCAGAAGACAGACTGTGTGGGTTTGTCTCTCCCTCCTTCATGTAAGTTCCAGGTATTAAACTCATGTTGTCAGGCTTTGCTGCAAGCACCTTTACACACAGAGCCACCTTGCTCTCCTCCAATATACATTTCAATAAAGGCTAAACCTCCTTGTATAGAGAAAAACACTACACATATGTATATATACAGAGAATAACCTGTCACCAGGGGATTGATTTTTTTTTTAATTTAAGCCATTAAGTAGGGCAAATGTTTCCTTTTGATGTTAAATGTTTTTGGAATCACATTGTTTTAAGTACTATAACATGGTATCCCATTCTGGGAATTAACCACACATTATTTCCTCCAGCAGTATTAGGGTTGGTCAGAGAAACTGTGGGGAAAGTGGGACTGTCTGTGACTAAGCCCAGGATGGAGTCCCCAGATGGCCTCCTTAGCCACACTCCAGTGTTGTATGAGAGCTGGCCTGGAGCCAGAAGCCCTGGGTCTGGTCTGGTATGCATAAGCCTTGGTACAGTCATCCATCTCCACATTTAACCTCAATTAGCTTCTCTGAAAAGTCAGCGGGGCTGGATTTATTCACCTCCATGGTCCTTTTGACCTCTCTGGCTTCACCTGGGAGGAGTTTTAGTCCCCCCACCCACCCCCACCTCCTGCCCATGCTACATCTAACTAATGTTACTCAAGTACCTGAGTCATCCCACACTTGCTGATAAGGTATGCTAATTCCAGGAGCTTCCTTTTTGTTGAAACAACATAGGACAACTGGGTAGAGCTTCCAGAAATAAGGTTAGACAGGGAGTTGACTCGTTCATGTGTCAATTGTAGAACTGTATGTTGCTAATCTTGATTTCCCTGAGCTCAGTAAGACTTAGTCATACTCTTGTTTCCGTCACAACCCTCAACAGCCTATTACAACCTGTGTGATCATGGGTGAGAACTGCAAGTGATTAGGCAGACAGAGAGAGAGAGCATGGAAATTATTTCCTTTCAGGTTACCATGACAAAATACTTGAAGAAAGCAACTGAAGGAAGAGTTTTTGTCTCGCAGCTTGACAGTAGAGGCGCAGAGAGAAGGAAGGCATAGAGGCAGGGCTGTGGTACAGCTGCTCACATGGCATCACTAACCCTGGGAAAATGATCAGGTTTCCAGGACCAGGTATAATTTTCCTCCTTTTGAGTGGGCCTGGCATTTGATCGGTTGTTGATAGCCACTAGTGTTTTAGTTAGACCCTACCTCTTAATAGTTCTAGCGTCTTTGACCATCCCCACACTAGAACCAAATTTCCAAGAATCTCTAGAAGACACTCAAACCAAATTTAAGTCAAAACATGTGATCTAAGTTTGACAATGCAGTGAGAGTGGAGTTGACAGGGTTCTAGAAGCTTGGCCTTTTATTATATTTTTATGGAAACATGTATCCTGAAAGTCTTTATTGAGGTAACAGTCACATTAACACAAAACTAAGTATCTTTATGGTTTCTTTTTTCTTTAACTTAAATTAATCTGTTTCTCTTTCTCTATATTTTGTCTCAGGATTTTTACCTTTCTTTCCGTCATCCATGACATTTAATATTTCACAATAGTACTAGAACTATCCCATGGGAGTGAATGTATTCTTAATTTGTGCCCCTCCCTTTATCTGTCAGATTATTTGTTCCTCAAGGAATTGGAATTTCCCTGGGAGTCATAGGGTAGAAGAAACAAGAGGCTGAAAGCCAGTGTCTGCCAGTCAAGGAGCTTGTTTCCCAAGAAGAGATTTCCCAGTTCTAACAACTTGTTAGAATACCTTGCGGAGAGAACTGGCATTTTCTTCTGGGTCACCAACTAGCTCCCAAATCATTACACAGAGACTTAAAATTAGTTATGAGTGCTTGACCTACCTTAGGCTCATTTCTGTCTAGCTTTCTTTTTTCTTTAACTTAAATTAATCTGTTTCTCTTTCTCTACATTTGTCTCAGGACTTTTTACCTTTCTTTCTATATATTTTACTTTCACTTCTCATGTCTGGCTGGTGGCAGCTGCCTGGCTTCATGCCCCTTACCCTAAGCATGTCCCATTCTTTCTCCCTTGTTCTCTTCTTCTTTTTATTCTTCTCTCAAGTCAAGATTCCTCCTCCTATCTATTCTCTCTGCCTTCTAGCTCCACCTATTTTTCTCCTGCCTAGCTATTGGCCATCCAGCTTTTTATTAGACCAATCAGGTGCCTTAGGCAGACAAGGTGAAACAAATGCAACACATCTTTACATGGTGAAAGTAATATTCCCCAACAGACTGGAGCTGAGGCAGTGATGGACAAGGCCACACTTCGGCGGGGACTGCTTAATTATGATGATGCATATCTCTTGCCTTCTATTTAAACCTGTACCTCATTTCAAGATAGAGAGTCTTTGTTTCTCTCCCCAATGTAGACAAACTAAATGAACTTGCTTTCTCTGCTGTGTGCCATTATTAGTGTATTTAGTTGGCCTATTGGGGATGAATGATAGAGCCCTGCTTCTTAATGCTGCCAGGGCCCAGGCATTCTAACAACTCCAGAAATGCAGCATCTGGCTGCTGGAAACATTAACATCTATCATGAAATAGCTCCTGATTCTTTACTGCTCTATGCTGACAACTACCAGACCACTTACTGTTTCTATGTCTTTACCTATTCTGGATATTTTGCATAAAAGAAACCATGCAATATGTAACTCTGTGTCTGGGTTCATTTACTTATCACAATGATTTTGAGTTCAATCCAATGTGTAACATGGATCAGAACTCTACTCCTTTTTACTACTAAGTAATATGTCCTTTGTATGTAGAAATCATAGCCTTCAATGTGAATGCCACCTGCTGATGACATATGACTTGTTTCCACCCTTTGTTGACTGCAAATGGTGCTACTCCAAACATTCATGGGCAGATACTTATTTGAATCCCCAGTTTCACCTGGGAGGTGGTGGGATATAGACTTAGGAGTGAAATTGTGGGCCATACTATAATCCTATAGTAAGTTTCTGAAAAACTACCAGGATGTTTTCCACGGTGATGAGCCATTTTACACCTACAGGGTACAGAAACTGCAAATTTTTCCATACCCTCATCCACATGTGTTATGCCCATGCTTTTAATGATTGCGGAAGCCTTCCTGGAGAACATGAGATAGTATCTCATTTGAGATACCATCCTGGGTTTGATCTTTCTTTCTCAATGACTAGTGATAATGAGTATCTCTTCACGTCACTTTTTTGGCCATTTGTTTATTTTATTTTGAGAAATGTCTCCCAAGTCCTATGTCCACTTTTAAACTGAGTGTGTCATTTTTCTGTTGTGACTTTTTAAGAGTTCTTTTTATGGTGGAGATACTAGAAACATCTAACATATGACTTACAAATATTTCTCCCATTTTCAGTCTTTATTTTCTTTACAACACTCTTTAATAGTCAAATTTTAATGTTGATGAAGTTCAATGTATCTGCTTTTCCTATTGTTACTCATACTTTTCAAGTTATATGAAAGGACCCACTGCCAAATCCAAAGTTGAGGTGCCCACATTGAGCGTCTCCATCCTTCCCATACCATGTTTGGGAAAATGTCCCACAGGATGGGGAACCTTAAACAGTTGTCTTTCATTTTATGGGTGTTCTTTTTAGTCTCACTTCCAAAGAGGCTACATCTGCAACCTTCTGCCATCTGATGGCAATGCCTTATCTGGATGTGAAGTCCTCTACTGTGGAAAAGTCACACAAAAGCTCTTCATTCCCATCTCAGCTTATGTGGCTCCATCCAGGATCTCATTCTGTCGGCTGTATCCTGGATGCTGCTGGGGCCATGAAGCATACTTGTCAGGCATTGCATCCCATGAGAACATGGTTCGGGGTCCTATCTTACCAGTTGTGAAATAGTGTAACAAAGGGGAGCACATGTTTTGATATCAGTGAGATCACTGTTATTTAATCTCACAGAGCTTCCATTTCCTTGTTTGTTATGAAAATTGTCTTATGGTTTTACAGTGTTAGCTTACACATTAAAAGCAAAGCAGCTGCTATCATGCCTAGTAAATAACACATACTCAGGATTGTTATTGACATCCTCCATGAGAAAAAATAGCACATGTGCACTGGTGATTTGGGGACCCTTTTTCATATTTTGCAGATTGCTAACATTTTTGTTAGGAAGACACTCCCTTGCCTTTGTGGAAGGGAGAGGCTGCAAGGGAACAGAACTGAAGGCTTTGTTCTTGTGTGTATGTTTAGTTACCAAGCTACTCCTCGCCTAGATACTTTCTTGCCTTTTAAATGTGATACAGCAAGCTTTCAGATCACCAATAGCTAAAAGACTAGGAAAACATAAGCCAAGAAGCAGGTGTCTCTTATATGTGGGTCAGCATACACCAGCTAATTTTATGAAGGGAGTCTTTCTATTTCCAAAACCTTTGTAACATCCCCAGTTTACTTCAAGCACCCTCAGTCCAACAATTGGAATAGTTGAATTTGCAACACATAATTCCTTTCTATTCTCTCTGCTGTTTCCCTTTCTTCAGCAGAAGTCAACAACTTAGTCTCTGGAACTGGCAGTAACCCAAGTGGATCCAGGCCCACCCTCTCTCCTGACAGACTGTATCTTAGCCTCTGTGTGCTATGGCTGTGATGCTACTCTGGGTTTAAAGACTGTCTAGAGACACTGGGTACTTCTGGAGGTTAATGACCTGCACAAATGTGTTTGTGTTTGATCTCCTGATCTTTTAGAGTCATTACACTGCTCATTGTTCTAAGCTTGCAATCTCAATGATTTCTGTGATTTTGTTGTGTCTCTCCAGTTAAGCTCCTCCTCTAACTGGGGAACCTTGTCACAGTATTTTGTATCACATTAAGTGCCTATAATTATTGCTGCTTCATCCAGAATTCAGTGAACTCTTGCTAGGTGTGTGAGCTCAGCACATTGAAGTATATGGAACCATGTCTCTGTATGTGATGTTTCCAATCTCTGGCCTTCTAATAAACCAGGGAACCTTGAATTTCCAAAAAACTGATTTTTAGTTTTAATATGAGATCTTTAGGGGAAAAAAATCTCTTTGTTTCCGTTATAAATTAAGACCATTAGATTACCCAGGAAAGGCACATTTGTGCAGGTGTTTGCTAGTTCATTAATATGGTGTGGATTACTGAGCAAGTTTTCTGCTTCATTTGGGTCTTATTCTCTTCTTCTGCTGATGTAATTTCTAATTCCATTCCAGCTTCTCTCAGTATCCGATGCTAGAATGTTTAGGCAAACATACTTTCCAAAGCTCTCCAGTGAGCACATTGAATGGTGTCTCTGTTAGATGTGTGGCTATTCAATCATGCCCTTATTGAGAGTATTTTCTACCTGTTTTTTGGTCTTTCAGTCTTGGGTGAGACTTTCCAGTTGACTCCTGAGATACTTACTGTTTCTGTTCAGTCTAAACTTCAGCAAGTGAATTTACAGTGGACTGTTCCAAACCTTACTCATCAAGAATTAAAAATGGTATTTCAAATAGAGATCAGTAGAATTAATACATCTAACATCATCTGGGTGGTAAGTATTTTTTTACTTAATATTTTAAAAATTCTTTTCCCAGGCCATGATTTGTCTGTTATACCATATGAGAAATCTTATTATTCCAGAACATTTCCCTCTCAGTACAAGTTTCCTAAATAATTGAATCCCTATGTTTTTAGTTAAGACAGTGGTTCTCAACCTTCAAAATGCTGCTGCCATTTAATACAATTCCTCATGTTGTGGTGAGCCCTAACCATAAACTTATTTTCATTGCTACTTCATGACTGTAATTTTGCTACTGCTGTGAATTGTAATGTAAATATCTGGTTTTTTTTCTGATGGTCTTAGGCGACCCCTGTGAAAGAATCATTCAACCCCCAGGTTGAGAACTGCTCAATTAAAACAAAGTAATATGGCCCACGGGTTTGGTGGATTTATTTGAAAAATAGATTCTCTTTGTTGTGCTGTTTGCCCCAAGATAGTCACCGGGTCTGTCCCTGTAAACATTGGATCTGCATGTTCCCTGCAGAACAATTATCTCACTCTCCTCTCTTTTTCTCTGTCCATCCACAGTTGGATTGTCCTGAATACGATATATAATGTCTTACTAAAACTTTTCTCACAGTGAGGGCTCTGAGGTTCCTTTTACTTGCCCTGTGCTGAGGGCACAGATGAGCAAGTCCCAGCACTTACTCTCTGGCCAACACAGAGGTTCTGCTGGCTGCACAGTACAATAGCTGACTGTCCTCTGTTTCCAGGAATGTGGGTTTGCTGATACATAAATTAATCGATTTAATCCTTCTTGAGGGGTGGAGGCTGGAGGATCAGAAGTTCAAGACACCATGTGTTACATAAGAAGTTCAAAGCCAACTTGAACTATATAAGCCCTTGCATCAAACCAAATGAAAAGAGAATCTTCAACTTTTTTTCTGCTTTGAATTATTTGGGGTAGATTTTTCACTCATCTTGATTCAGGCAATAGATGTGTCTCCTGTGCCTGACACAGTCTCATCTAACAGCACATTGGTCACAGGCATTACATATTATTATGAGCTGTTTCAGGAGAGTTTGACAAAGTACCTTAGAAATATTCTGGAGGTAAAGGACACAGAGGAATCATCTGAGGGCCCATCAGCCCCATTGAGGTCCCTCTTCTCTCGGGCAGCAAATGTTTGGCACTGAGGGATCAAGAATGTCTGTCCTTCTAGTTAAGCCTGTCACTAATGTTAAAGTCTTCAGTTCTTTTCCATATCCATTACCAAATATGAGGTCTGAGCAAATGGTCTAAGGTAAATAAAATCTGATTCAGTCCACTACGGCTTATAGCAGGTCTGTTGCTTGTTTCAGAGGGCAGTTTCCCACAATGCCAGCTGTGTGATGTCACCTTAGTAGTACATATGTGTAATCATTAGCTGTCCACTTCCCACCATCAGCATAGCTTCCCACAAACCCACTTTATGCTAAGAAACCTGATTGTTGTGATTCTGATAGGTATTGGTTGGTGGTTTGGGCCTAAAGAAACATTCGATGAAGGCCCTATTGGAAAAAAGAACAGTCTAAAAACAGAAGGTGGGGAGAAGTGCTGAGGAGAATTTTGGAGCATTAACACTTATCACCATAACAAAATAGCAATAGAACAAGGGAATCTTATTCTGTACTTCTCTAAAAGACAATTCTTATCAGTTCTCATATCAGGAAAAGCAAGTAATGTTTGTCATGGAACAAGTGGATCCCATTCTTTCTTTTCTTAAATCTGAATGGAATGTAGTCTCTTTGAATGGGAGAGTAGCATGTGAGAATTATTTTTGTATTTATGAGGGGTTAAGGTCCCCAAGGGTGGACTATTACACCATCCATTTATGTCATTTAACTCAAAACATACAGCAGTGACAACAACCCGCACATGGATAATTGTTTTCAGTTCAGTCAAAGAGAGGCAGAGAAATAGCCTCATTTGTCACCTCCATGGTCAGACAGGGAAGGTGGTCACATGCTATGACTAGGAGATGCCCTTGTCTGACTCTTCTTGTACCTGGTCTTGAGGAGAGACATGAGATCTTCCTTCTGTTAAGGAAGGGACCATACTTCCTTCTGGAAATTCTTCTTTGCCTGAGCAGTTGCTTGTAATGCAAGCAAGGAACCCCATCGCCACTTTTGCTGAGAAAGACACATTACAATCTCATCATTCATTGTGCTTCCAACAAGCCGGATGAAATGTACATTGGCCTAGGTGCTCATAGCTGGAATAGGACATTTCCCTGACAGTGCTAGCCATTCAGAGCCCTGCTGACAGTTACACTACGTGGTGCTGCTTGTGGTCAAACTTTGCTCTTTCCTCTAGGCCATTTTCTGCAAGAGAAAGCAGAGTAGCAGCTCAAGCTTGGAAAGATGCCGGGGATGTGAATCATCTAGGGATAGGATTCATGCTTCAGCAATGAGTCATTGACCTCAGATATATTTCTATGCCTGTGTATTTGCCAATTCCTATGACCTACTAGTGTCTGCAAGGGCTATATTCAAATTACCACTTCAATGACAAAAGAAATCAAATGCATTACTTTTTTAAAATCACTAATTTGATTAACATAGTCAAAGTTTATCTTCTTCATTGGTAAGACTATAAAGACCTCAGCACATAAACTTGAGGTTAGTTAGAATCCACAGTGTCTAGGGACATATGGCCTGCTACATATTAATCAAGTGACTAAATTAGTTCAGAAGGTTGGACTGTGGGCCTGCATCAGGCATTGTTCAAGGTGTGGAGATTTAAAAGTTGAGCACATTAATGGGATGTGTGGGGGAGTGTAAAGGTCTTTTGTGAATGCTGGGGCTGTTATTCTAAATTTCTCCCACAATTTGAATGAAAGCCAAGATATGAAAGGGGAAATGGAGTTAATTTAGCATGAAAGGTGGGAACAAGATCCCTGAGAAAACCCAATGGGAGCTATCAGAGGCCTTGAGAGAAGGGTGTGGCGTGGCTACCAGATTTGAAGGCAGGCTGCAGTGTGTGGGCACATGGAAACAGGTTTGGGCAAGGAGGTGCAGGGCAATACCACCCAAGGCCATGGGAAGAACAATCAGATGTGTTTACCTGGATAGCAGTAAGAAGAAGGGGCGTGGCAAAGTGTGAGAGTTGGCTGCAGGGGACTGCCAGGGCAGGAATGTGTAGATCTAGGGAGATTCACAGGGGAACCCCAACTCTGGCCTGCTGACAGCATAGCAATTTACTATTGTTGTCTACTTTAGTTTTCTTTTGTTGTCTAGTGTTTATATTTAACAATATTCAAATGTAATAATATCTTAGGGCTGTTCATTAAATAATGAAAGTTCCATGAATATGGATATCAAAACAGGCAGAAATACGTTTTGTGATCTAAGAATAAAGCAAAATAATAAGCTGATATAAAATATTAGCATTTTAAAAAATCTGTTCTGTATAGAGTAGACAGGAGGCACATAATTAAATTTACCTGGGTGGACCACAGTGTTCTTGTTCCACAGCTGTGTGAATCTGTTGTCTTCATGATTTAAGACTGGTGATCTGAACAGGGCAGAAATGTAAGATGCCTACAAGCATGAACAGGGCAGAAATGTAAGAGTTGTTGCCTACAAGTACTCAGAGCTCCCTATACTGAGTACAGACTCACATTAGCATCCCCAGGAAGTTCAAGGTCCAGGAAGGAATGTGTCTTCCTTAGGGTTTCTATTGCTGTGATGAAATATTGTGACAAAAGGCAACTTAGGGAGGAAGGACTTTTTGTTTGCTACCCTTCCATATAATAGTTAACATTCATCATCAAAGGGATTCAGGACAGGAACTCATGCAGGGTATGAACCTGGAGGCAGGAGCTGATGCAGAGGTCATGGAGTTCAGCTTACTGGCTTGCTCAACTTACTTTCTTAAGGAACCCAGAACCACCAGACCATGGATGGTACCACCCACAGTGAGCTGAGTCCTCCTCCATCAATCACTAATTAAGGAAATTCCCTACAGGCTTGCCTACAGTCTGATCTTAAGGAGTAATTTTTCTCAGTTAAGGTTCCCTTTTTTTTCAGATGACTCTATCTCGTGTCAAATTGACTTAAAACTATCCAGCACAGACTTGGGGACAGGGCAGGGGTTCTAGAGGGGCACATAAAAAAAATGAGCTGTTGAAGCTAAAGGGGATTCAAAATAGAAGAAAATATGATCTGATCTCTGCTTTCTTGGGTCCATACCAGAGTCATAGGTAAATTCCAGGAAGGTATTATGGTGGTTGGAGATGGGAAAAATTTAGAGGAAAAATCAGAAAATTCTCATAGGATTCTCATAGAATCCCTCTACAGGAAGTTCTCATAAACCATATGTGAGTACTAGGTTCCATCTTCAACACTGAGATAGTTTAAGAAGACTTCATGAAGGAGATGGAATATGACCTGGACTTCAATAAATGTAGCTAATTCCTAATGCAGAGGGAAGTGGAGGACACTAAGCCAACAGTGCCTCATGAGCAGATATTGAGATGCCCAGTAAGCCTTCAAAGGTTACAGGTAGACTATTGAGTCCAGAGAGAAGATACCTTCAGACTAATGCAAACCAAACTGTGGAAGCCTTGAAAGGTAGAGAAAGATATCATGGCACCATTGAAATTGATCAACGTTGAGACTAGAGATGCCAATGTCTTAGATAAAGACCCACTTCACCTTGAGTAGGTCCTCAAAGAGCATTAGGAGGAATGATGTTCAGTTGGAGCCTCTAAGTCCTAAGGTTCTTACAGAGGGGTCTTTGTGGAGGGATGTGGTCCATCTGGCCACCACATTTGAAAGAATAAGAGAGAAAAGCAAGGGCCACTTCTGGAGATGTTGGTGTTCCCAGGATGCTTGGAAGAGTTCCCTGTTTGCTCAGATTTAGTTAATTTGATCTAACCCTGGTTAAAATGAGTATTTATAAATACAATAGATATTACTTATGTCTAAAAGGACAATTCAATACAATTTTCTTAGCAAGGGTCTAAGTGACAAGCACAGTTGAATATCTGTCTCAGATCTTTGGTTCAAGGCTTGAATGACTTCTCTTTTCTGTCACTTGATCTGTATGGGTCCCTGGACAATATGACAGTCATGGGGACTAAGGAGACAGGAGTCCATAGCTGCCTATGCAGACATTAGAGCAAGGGAGTGATGGGTTGGGAGTGAACTTAACATCATGGTGGTGTCAAAATGGGGTAGAGTTTGTCCTTTGTAATAATTCAGGTTGACATATTCTCCAGGATGCAATAATTGTGTATCTCCAAATATTTCCTTCATTTTAGGAGAATTACAGCACTACTGTGAAGTGGAACCAAGTTCTGCATTGGAACTGGAAGTCTGAGATCCCTTTGGAATGTGTAACACATTTCATAAGAATCAGGGCTATGGAAGCCGATGGCAAGTCTTGGAGCAACTGGAGTTCCTGGAAAGAAGTTAGTGGTAAGAAGTGAAATAGTTACAGGTGAAGTGGGCATAACTATAATCAGATGTAGTGTAACTCAGAGATAAGTAATCAACTGAAGGGTATTGCTGCCCATTTGAAAGCCCCTGAGTGGACACTGACACTAATTTCATTTGGTCATAATAGAACTAAAAAATGGCTTTGAAATTCCCCATGGAGCTCTAGATGGCTGAAGCTAAAGTTTTATCCTTGAATTAATTTAATTATGTGATTTAATTATATGATTCAGATAATTTTGCATTCATTTTCTAATGTGCAAAGTATATTTAATTTAAAGTTGCATATGTGTTTTTATTAAAGCAGCACACACATTCAAATACACATGCACACACACACACACACACACACACACACACACACACGGAACATGTATTGGGAATGTTTCTGTAAAGGGTCCAACAGTTTCTTTTGAGACTGTGGCACTTAAGTCTTCAGAAAGCAGCCTTAGACAATGTGTAAACAAATGAGGGCAGCTATGTGTCAATAAAACTTTATTTACAAAACAGATGGCACACTTGACTTGGCTCATGGGCCAATCCTCAATTTAGAGACAGGGAGCAATATGAGGAGAAGGAAAGCAGCTTTTCATTACAGTTGAAGAATTGTGGACAAATAACTTTAACTATCCTTTCATTTTGATCATTGAACATTGTTGTAGGTAAAATTTAGAATGGGCTTTGCCATAAATTCTCATGTTCCACTAGGCTATAGGCCAGATTTACAGCAATAGCATCTCTATTCCTCACTATTTATCCTGACCTATTATATGAAATTCTACTAATATAATCATTTCTTTGCCAAGCATTGATGCAAATTAATTAACTGAAACTAGCAACCTATTAACCCAGGAATAGCTTAATGCATACAATGATAGTAATAAAATAAAGTATACATTCTACAATTTTAAATACTAGACATTGGTTTAGCTGTCATGTTAACCCTAAGAAATAGGCTTTATTTTTATTCCCACTTGACAGATACAGAAAATGAGGTCCAGGGAAAGTAAAGAACCTAATAAGCCTTGTACTTCACAGCTGTATCTTACTGCTGAAAGATTATATGCATATATTTATTAGAAATTCATAAAATGTTTTTTAAAAGGCCATGAATGTTTGCTAGGTGACTTAGAGGTTAACATAAATTCATTATATAAATTGAATGTACCATATAGTGAATTCAAAGCTGACCAAGAATATGTAGTGAGATTCCCATCTCAGAACAAGCAAACAACAGCAAGAGAAAAAGAAGTAAACATGTTATAAACAATTTTGGTAAAATGAACTAGACTTCTTAAAAACTGTAACCATAAAATTTATGCAAGAATAATGAAAATCCTGACCCTCAAAGGGATGTTTCTCAACCATCGTTGTTCAGTAGAATCATATGAAGGCGATTAAAAACCTTCAGAGAAGGACAGGACACTTGGCACAGGTGAGGTCAGTGACAGCAATATCCAGTGCCCTAATAGGTGACCCGCCAGGCTAAATCAGACAGTGAAGCCTGAGTCACATTTAGAGGGAAGCTTCTTCTAAAAGGCCACCTAGAGGGAGCCATAGGAGAAGGTGGCAGAGTCCTATGGATTTTGCTATGTCACAGGTCACAGCAAAAAAAAAAAAAAAAAAAAAAAAGACTGGAACAGGAGGAGATGGAAATTGAGCTTCTCGGGGAAGGGGGAGAAGATGTGACTCAGTATGATGGAGAGAGACATGGCTTTGGGGCTGGATGAGTTTTCGCTGTGATTAAGCCATTCAGGGGAGATTGTTCAGGGGTACAGTCCATGATGGCATGGACGGTCGGGTTGGTAGGGGCTTGCAGCTGTTGATTGCATTTCACCCACAATCAGGAGGCAGAAATGCTAGTACCCGGCTCCCATTCTCCATTTCATTCAGTCCAGGACCCCAGCCAGGCACTGGTGCCACCTGCAGTGAGAAGGCCTTCTCACTTGATTAATCTAATAGCAACATCACAGTAACTAAAAGTGGTGGTAATGATGCTGTTTTAGATGGAAAAGTATGACAAAAGTTGATACAGTGGAGAGGATTGCTTTGGACCCACAGAAAGGTCCGGGAATCATGTGGAAGTTTAGGCTGCTATTTTCCCAAGAAGGTAAAACAAAACTATATTAACTACAGGGAGTGGGAGGGGATTTGTCTTGAAATCTGAGTAAGACTCTAACCAAGGCTTTTTGTCTTACAGTACAAGTTTCAATTGCACCAAATATGTTATTAATATTTCCTGAAAATAAGCTATTGGAAGAAGGCTCCAATGTCACCATGTGTTTACTGCATGGACAGTATCTGTATAATGTATCCTGTATGTTGCAAGAAGAGCCAATCCTTGGAGAACAGCTTGATTCACGAGTGTCACTAATAAAGTTGAATAACGTTGTTTTCCTTAGCGACTCAGGGACAAACATCTATTGTCAAGCTATGAATGCCACCAAAAAACTATTTGGTACTGTCCTCTTTGTCTCAAGTAAGTATTAGCACAGTGGTTCTTAACCTTCCTAATGCTGTGACACTTTAATACAGTCCTTTATGTTGTGGTGACCCCCAACCACAAAATTGTTTCTTTGCTACTTCATAACTGTAATTTTACTTCTGTTACGAATTCTAATGTAAATATCTGACATGCAGGTTATCTGGTAAGCAAGCCCTGTGGGTGTCCCAACCCACAGGTTGAGAACCACTGTATTAGAATGCTAGGTCTCCTCCCTTCTCATTTCCTATGAAACACCTTGGGTCTCATGTACCAGGAAGCACAGAAATATTTCACATGTGGTTTTAGTTTTCTTCGATTTTACAAGTCTTCCAAAAGAGATTTTGAAAATAATACCCAGAGCAATGCTCCCAGGACTTCCTATTGTTTCCTGTTTTATGGCTAACAGTTTTATTCCTAGAACCAACAGTGTTAAAGGAGAGGTTTCAGGATATAGGGCACAGAGCTCCAAAGACCTATGTCAACCCTGGCTCTTGGCTCTATCTGTCCTCTTGGTCATTTCTGTGACTGGGCATTGTGATGGTTTAGAGAATCTATGAATCTTGGTAGCTTCTAGCCCCAGTGTACTAGTTCAACTATCGTGGCCAATATCATTCTTAGCTGAATGGGAAATTAATTCCTTGGCCTGTTTCAGTGAAGTGGGAGCATGCTGACTTTTCTGTAGGCTGCACTATGCCTATGCTGTCTGCTCTCGAGTTTCCATCACCCTAAAACCATAGGAAAGTATCCGAAACATCTCTCTCTATTGGAAAAGGAGGCAATTCCAGACCTGGATGCTTCCATAATCTGGATCCCTTACTGTAGGCTCTGGGAACAGAAACAGCTCCACATTTGTGAGGAGCTTTGCCCCACCTGGTGCTCGCTGCTCCCCACTGCAGAACTGAACTAGTTCACAGTCTGGCTGACATCCCTAGGTGGTAATGTAAGCCATGGAATCAAAATGGAACACAACCCCCTTTAAGGTAGACACAGTTGCCAACCTCATGCACAATATTGACTACACATCCCCAAGATATCCCACACAGGGGGAAAGACTAGCATATTTCAGGAAAGCACCTGAAATATGCCTCTCTGAGACTACTGACCTGCCGATTTCCACCTCCTGACCTCCTCTTTGTTTGAGGGAATGTGACTTGAGACTCCAAGCACTTTCCTTTGACTTGTCTTTCAATGAAAGGGGTTAATTAGATCTTCCTTTTTTTTTTTTTTTTTTTTTTTTTTTTGTATGGATAGAAGTGCTTGAGGAGCCCAAGAATTTTTCCTGTGAAACCCAAGACTTTAAGACTTTGAAATGTTCCTGGGAACCCGGGGTAGACACTGCTTTGGCCTGGTCTCAACAAGATCCTCAAAGCTACACTTTATATGAATCGTGAGTCTACTCTGGTTACATCATCTGCAGGTTCTTCCTTGTTTAATCATCACAGGACAAGCAATTCTCCCCTCGAGAAGACACATACTCTTGGATGTGTCTTCTCTCTTCTGGATGAACTTCTGTTTCCTACCCTTTTTAGTTAAGCCTGTATTAAAATGTCTTTAGAAAATGTCCAAGTCTATCTCACAAAAAAAAAAAATGGAGCACAAGGAGGGTTATATTGCAGAAAATGTGTACAAATATTTCAGAACTGCTTGCTGGAATCACAAGGAAATCTTTTAGTATCTACAAGGGGTGTAGGACCTTCTATCTAATGTGCTCTGAAATAACATGTACAATAAAAATAAGAATAATTGATTGTGTATATTTGTATTAAGACAGTATTATCTGTTGATATGACTTTCCCTCATTTTTCTAAAATTTTAAGAATATTCAACTAGATTAATTGATGGCTATACTACCTACAAGAAAACTTTATTCCATATAGAAAATGCATAGAAATGTTGTTATTATTGGTGACAGAACAATGAATTCACAGCTTAAGAGTTCCAAGGGATCAGGATAAATCTGGCTTGGTGGAAGTGTTTAAACTCTGTCCTTGCTGTCTTGTTTTGTTCCATTTTTAAGGTTCTCTGGGAGACGTGAGGTTTCTGACCATAGAAATTCACATAACTGGAAAATAACTGAAGATTCACAGGAAACATATAACTTCACACTCACAACTGAAAACAAGCTAAGGAAAAGAAGTGTCAACATCATTTTTAACCTGACCCACAGAGGTGAGACAGTGACACCACAGCCTGTGATGGAAATTAGCATAGTGTTTTATGCAATGAGACCCAGTGAATGCACTGTAGATGTTGGTCTTGTTCACAACCCTGGTGAAGCTAATGTTCGTACTTCTATTTGCTCACACTTACCCTCTTGGATGTGTGCATTCTCAAGCACTTGTTTTGATCATATCTCAAGTATCAGACTAGCATTCTGACATGTGCTTATTGCACAGTCTATTCTAAAACCTCTCTCTCTCCACTCTCCTTTAACCAAAATTGTCTTGCTTTAAATTGTGGGTAGGGATAAAGATTTGTGTTCTTATTTCCTATTTGTTCTAAAGATCTGGGAGGTGTGGGCCTCATTGTATATCAAACCATCTTTAGCTGTCTAGTAGTTACTTCTCATATACTATTAAGTTGCCATGACATGCTTGTACTGGGGAACATTGCTGTACTCTCTTTGCTGTGCTACTATGTAGCATTTCGTGGAAATGCACACTATTTTATTCACTCATTTCTTTCAATGGCTTGCAAGTTGTATCATGTTTTTCTTGGGATACTGTTTTCACTAATGTTAGAATTATACATGTGTCTGTACACATGGACTTCTTTTTTAGCATGTACCTAAGAATGAATAGTCAGAGGCATAGTCTTCCTGAGTGCCTACTTCTCAAGCCATGTTCCAAAATTGTTTTCCTGGTTACACTCTCATTCTATTGATTTACTTATTCTCCCTAAGGTTGTTGGATCACTTTTATTTTTGCCAATTGAACTGAGCATAAAATGCTATTTCTTGATGGTTACTAATTTAAAAATCTCTTCTAATGCTAGGAATGCATCCATTTGCTCTTTAATGATGTGCTTTATCCTGTTATTAATTCATTCCTATATGGGTTGTTATGTTTCTTTTTTCATTGGTGAGAGTTTTTCATATATTCTTAATGCAGATCCTTTGTTATCAGTTCCTATAGCTGCCAATATCTTCACTCAGTTTGTAGTTCTTAATTTCATACATGCCTATTGACAATAAAAGATCTCAATTTTAACATAAACAAGTATACCAAAGTCCTTTAAAAAAATCCTTTCTTATTTCAAGGTCAAAGTCAGAAGTATAGTCATTCATATTTTTTCACTGAGTTTTAAAGTGTTTTTAAATATAAATCTCTTAGTTGAGATGTAACAATGAGATTTTTTTATTTTAGAAGAACCACTTGTTCAGTTCTTTTCATTTAGTAGCTTTTATTTCCCCACTGATTTAACAGGCCAACTCTTCCTGTTATGAGAGTGTATTGGAGTCATAGATTCCTGGACAGTCTCTTTTTCCACACTAATACCCCCCTCTAGTTTTGTGAACTTCAATTGCAGTGGGTCTGGATGATGCTAAGTCTCTCGATGCCCTTTGCCAGGTGCGTTCCTGTCATTGTAATCGTTATACTCTCTTGTACATAATTTCTGGGACTCAATTCCATGAACACCTCTTCTGGTACTTTTTGATTTACATGGAATCTACAATGATAACTTGGATAAATCAGTGTCTCTGTGATACTAAGACTTCCAATGCATGGAACATGATGATTTTTATATTTATGTAGGCCTTTGTTCATAATGCTTTAAATTTTGCACATTTAAAAATATATAATTAATCCAGCAGTTTCTCTGTAGACCAGGCTGGCCTCGAACTCACGGAGATCTGCCTGTCTCTGCCTCCCAAGTGTTGAGATTAAAGGCATAAACCATCACTGTTCAGCTGACTACAGCAATTTCTAAAACTGGCTTATGTTTTATTTTCTGATATTTCCCTCCTTCTTGTCTTATATTATTATATTTACATTTATATTATCCCTTTAAAAACATTGTTAGGTCTTTTTAGCTTGTGAATAATGTTCACCATTAGTTCTCATGCAAAAGTTTGTCTACACATTTGTTATTTGAAGTTGTCTCTCTAGGGTGTTCTTTAGAAATGGCTGATGAAACAGTAGTCCCATGAATCCCTGAATGTCAAGGCCGGACTCTTATCTTTGTACTTAAAAGTCAGGTTGACTGGGTATAAAATTAAATCTGCCTCCCTTGAGTCTAATGAACTCCATTCCTGCACTCTCTAGTGATATAGAGAAGGCTGATGAATATCCAAAGGTACTGGCCATGTGGTTTTCCCCATTATTAAACACTTGATCTTTTGGCCTAGAATTTCTTTCTTTATAAATTCCAGCAATTGTACTGGAATTTGTCTATTTTAGGTTGATCCTTTTAGTGGCATGGTATGTTCTTTCAACGTGTAGTTCTGAATGTTTTAAGAAAGATATTTGAGTTGCAGTTTTTCATATTTTCTCAAGAATCTGCCACATTGCCATTAGGGAAGATTAAAGGCTGAACCATACTCTTGTCAGCTCCCTTCTGATGTGCTCTTCAGAAATTCCAGTTACCCATGCATTCCATCTTCTCCATGTGCTCCTTTGTCTCGAGTTCTCATTGCTTTTGAAGACCATTCCTGCTTTTGAAGACCATTCCTTTTCCCTCCTAGTTGCTTAAAAAGCTACCTATTGTGCATATTTGCCCTGGGGACCCTTTGTAAGAAGCACCCGTCACCTGAACTTTGGGGTATTTAATTTAGGGATGAGGCTGATGAAATATTGGGGCAGTGTGTTTGTTAGTTCAGGGTGTAAGCTGTGTTCTTTAGACGTGTACATCCTTGAGTTTTGTGATCATCCTCCGTTATGTACCATCACTTGATTTCGAATTGTGCTTGTGTAAACATTTGCTTTATATATCCTGAGGATTGTTAAAACCAGGTTTGCATATAAAATCGCTGTATGTTCCATATTCTAATAGTAAGGCTTTCCCTATTTCCTGAAGTTCCTCGTGGCTATTTAAAGGTCCTGGTCTGGTTGTTCTAATACTGCTGCTACTTTGCTTTGCAAGTCACTTTGTTGACTTTCCGTTGATAAGTTATTAGGCTCAGCTGTTTCATTACTTTAGCTCATGAACTTGAATTTCTCTGCAAGCATCCACTGTGTCATTGGGCTATCATATTTGATTTAATCCTTACCACAAACATTTGAGGTACATGTGATGAAAGAAAAACCTCAGTCTTGCCAGCCCAAATCATAAAGTGAGGAAAATCTGAGGACAGAGACCCAGGAACCCCAGAGAACTGTGATTAATCCCTTTTCGCTGTAGCAAATAGACCATCAGGGTAGGTTTCAGCTTCAGCCCCAGCCCCCACCTCTACCATCTTTATAGCGAGAAAGGATGGCAGAAACAGACCATGTGACCATCATCACAGCAAGTAGTTTGGCCTAAGGGCATACTGGACTATCTAAGCCCATTTTTAGTCAAAAGAGTGTCATCTACTGGTAATATAGCAGCCATGCTCTCATTCTGTTTTTTTTTTTTTTTTTTTTGTTCGACAAATCTATCAGTAAACTTTGCCAAATGGTTAGTCCATAGATTGTTGATTCTCCACACAGACCTGGGAAGAGCCTAAGCATCACTGATAGGTGAGCAGATAACTTGACCCTTCTGGGAAGTGAGGTATTTGTTCATGGGGTAATTGTGTCCCATCTTAGATGTACAATTTCATTGAATTATCAAGCTCTGTTAACCTGGTCTCATTTCACTGGTAATAATAATTTGCGTGTATCCAAGTAAGACTGGTAGTTCATGCCACAGTGGCACATATAAAGCTCTGGTTATCTGATGCCTAATCTGAGAGCAGTGCCCAACAGCAAGCAAGGAGCTCTCCATGCAGGCAATTCCATCGACTTGGAAAGCTGAAGTAGATGATAATGACTTTGAGCTTAGGTGTTGTAATCCAGTGAGACCCCCCCCCAGAAGGAAGAAAGGAAGGAAGACCACTTTTTCCTTTAGCTTTCAGCTTATATGGTCCCGACATTTGACCTGCTATAAGAAGTCTGCTGTTTGTCTTCATGTTCAGAAGAGCTTTCTGAAAAGGCATCTTAGCTGTCACAGGGTTGTTTGAAACATTTTTTAAAATCTGTGTTAAGTCCCATATAAACAAGGTAATGTCCTGTTCTCCACTCCCTATGCAGGCCAGCATTCATTAAATAACCTATAACTCAGATGACAGGCACATATGGACATGTCCATTTTGTGGTTCAGAGTCTCAGCTGTGAGGGGACACTCCTCAAGGGATTGAGGTATAATTATGTGCTAAGAGTGGTCCATATTCCTCTGTCTATAATGTGACTAATAGTTAAAGGAAATGACTCAGAGGCACATAAACAAATGAGTACCGGGGCCACTTTTTATCCTTTAACAGCTTGAGGTCATCAGCCTTACTTTTTCTGAATTGTCTGATTTGTTCATGTGATATTTATAGCCTATAGCCATTCTCCATATGTTTCATCTGACTCCCAGGCAGGGTTTCATTCTCCATACTGTACCTCCCAGTTCTAAAACTTTCAGTTAGTTCTTTATTTCCTGTATTCCATTATTACCTAGTTTATCCTTCAATCTGCACACTATTCTATAAGCAGTATTCTATTAAAGGGCAGTGTGGTACTATGTTCATTCCCCAGAACGACAGTAGTGAAATCATCCTTGGGGCCCATGATCACAGTCATTGTTCTTGGGCAGATTTGCAGTGCCAAGCATGTTTCTTCCTCTGTGGTGGGCCATAAAACCTAGTAGAAAGTTGTTGGTTACCCCTCTAGTATTCATACCACTACTGCACCTAGGAGTGTCTTACCATACTGGTCATTATTGTAGTTCTCAGGGTTCATAGTTGGTTGTTGATTAACTTCCAAACCATCTACAACAGTCTATATAGCACCTTTCTGAAATCTACCCAGCAGCAGGAAGCTTCCTGGTCACAACCGACTTGATTTCTCCATATCCTGTGACTAATGTGTATAGTGTCTTCGGCAATAAGGTCTTATCATCAAGCTCTAGTGCACAACCAAGATCACAGGTGACAGCCTAAACTATTTTAAGGGTCTCTGGGACACCTCTGATCAACAATTTGAGGAGATGTGTTGGACTTTTTGCTTACTAACATAAGATACCTGGAATAAGAATAGCCCCTGTCAAGGGTAACTCCAATTAAACCTTTTTAAATTAAAAAATGTATATGATGCTTATAAAATAGTTTTTTTTCTATATGGCTTTTCAAACATCCTTAGTCTTCATTATCTCTCTACCACCCCCTCCCTCGTCATACCTCAGCGTCCTTCTTTTCATTTAAACCTTCCCCTGCATTGTTCCCCCTTTCTTTTTCCATTTCTTAGTTTCTCTGCTGAGAACTGATTTCCTTCAATGCATTTCATCTGTTTGGCTTTGGTTCATGAACCTATTTCAAACACTTGTGTAGCAATTGTATCATATGGGTTATTGGAGGCATCTGTTGATAACCTTTTCCCTTGGCAATTGGTGACATTATTCTGGGATGTTTTGTATATTGGATTTTTTAGGGTTATTTCCTTGACACTATTAATATTATTTTAGTTAGACTCGGGTCACATTATAATGCTTCTCCATTGGCTGTCTGCTTTAAGTTTTGACTCTTCCTCCACAACCTAATTGATCATATTTAATTTTAAGAGTCTATGTGTAGGTAGTTTTTGTACTTCAGTGTGTAATCCAACATAAAATATATAAGGCAATTGGTGAGTGAGTAAGATTGCATACTGGACACACTATGTATTGTCAGCAAGCCCAGTGTTGTTTGCATTTTCTTAAACATAAACAAAAAGCACTGATGAACAAACAAGTGACAGAATGAATTGCTTATTTCCTGAGCTCTGTTTAGATCTGCTTGATTCTCTCCTTTGTTCCTTTTTCTTTTATTGACAGTTCATCAAAAAGCTCCCCATGATGTCACCCTGGAAACTATAGATGCTACAAAAGCCAACATGACCTGGAAGGTGTACTCCCGTGGAGACAACTACTTACTTTTGTGTCAGGTTGAACTCCAACATGAAAGAGAAGTGATACATGTAAGAACATTTCTTCTTTGTTTCCTACTTTTAAAAATTCTTGAGAAAGATGCCCGCCGAATAAGCTTCTTTTTTTTTTTTTTTTAAACCTTGGGTATCACACACCTGTAATCCTAGCATTCAGGTGGCTAATTTGGTAGATCACCACAAGTTTGAAGCTAGCTTTGGCTACATAATGAGACTCCATTTGTAAGAAAAACCAAAATTTCAGGACAAACATGCTGCTGGGGCACACCTGTAACCTAAGCATCTGAGAGGTAGAGGCAGGAGGATTACTATACGTTGGAGGCCAGCCTAATGTTCATAGTGAGTTCCAAGCTAGCCAGGGCTATCTTACAAGACCTTACCCAAAGCCTTAAAGAACAATCTAAAACTAAGAAAAATCAATCAATAGGGCCTTTATTTAAACATCTGTTCACAGTATGGATTGTCATTTGAAAGGGGTCCTGACATTGATCTAAACATTTAGCACTGAAAAGAAAATCTTAAGGAAAAAAATTCCTCCTGAAGAAGACCCAGCCTTCTAAATCAGAGATGGCTGTGTTTTGATTCAGCTTTGCAACACAAATGCAGCTATAGTGTTTGTTTTTCCCTCGCCTTCTTGACTCAGGAGCACAAGGTTTCCGTCCACATGAGTGCAAGCTACCTCTTCAGTGATCTGGAGCCGGACACAGAGTACAAGGCTCGTGTGCGCTGTGCAGATGCCAACCACTTCTGGAAATGGAGTGACTGGGCTCAAAAGGAGTTCAGCACACCTGAGGCTGGTATGTGGGGCTCCCTGGCATTGAACTCACAGTCTAAGCCTCAAGATACGCATGGGTCAACTTCCTTAAGAGCTCTCATTTGTGCCAAACACCAAGAGGAAGGTATTAAGGCAAAGGGAATATCATACTTTAAAATTAGATTAAATGCTCAGTGAGCAAAGGCATTTGATAACGGTTTTATTTCTAGTGTATGCTTTCTCAGGTGGTTTCTTTACTACTCCTGGGTTCATTTTGACTCAGTATTGGGGACAAAATGATGTGTCAATGTCTTGGAAAGTACAGGCCTAACACCATACAACATCAGACTCTCCTTGGGAATGCATGGTCTTTGGGACAGTCATCCAGTACACTGGAGTCCTCTCTGATTGTCTTTGCACTTAAGGTTTCTTCAGCCCTGAGCATGAATGGCTATTCTCCAAAGAACTATGTCATAGGACTTAGTGGGTGCTGGGAGATGAAATGGCCTGGCCGAGCTCTCAGACCTTTCCAGTTCAAGATAATAAATCTTGCCTGTCATCCACTTTTCTAGATAAAGCAACTTGTACCCGAGGATTGAAGGGACTTGGTTGTGTGTGTGTGGCATTAATGAATAGCAGACACACAATAAAGCAATAGGAGCAGCTCATCTGTGATTGTTAGTGATGCTTTGTAGTCCTTGTTACATATGCAGGAACTTGTTTGAAATGTCTTTTGCTCTTTTGGCTTTTTGAGGGACCCACCAGCCAGCACCCAAAATAAATACACACACGGAGGCTTATTATTACTTATGAATGCCCAGCCATATCTTGGCCTATTTCTAGCTTGTTTTTCTTAACTTTAAACTAGCCCATCTACCCTTTCCCTCTAGGCTTTCATCTTTCTTCTGGATATCTTACTTTCCTTTTTATTCCAGGGCTGGCTGGGTGGCGGGGTGGCTGGGTGGTGGGATGTCTGGGTGACTGGGTGACTGGGTAACTGGGTGGTGGGGTGGCTGAATGGTGGGGTGGCTAACCCTTGACGTCCTCCTCTCTCCTTGTTCTCTTGCTCTCCTTTCTTTCTTGTTTCTCCTGTTTATCTTCTCTGCTCACCAGTCCTGTCTATCCTCACTCCAGACTTGCTATTGGCTGTTCAGCTCTTTTTAAGACCATCAGGTGTTTTAGACAGGCAAAAAAAAAAAAAAATCACAGCTTCACAAATTTAAATAAATGCAGTGTGACAAAAGTCACATACCTTAAAATAATATTCTACCACAGGAACTGTTCTGATTCTAATGTTCTATAGGAGGACCACTAAGGCAGAGAGGCAGAGTGTGTGATTGCCCTGGAATTCACTCCCAAATTGTTTTAAAGGGAGGTACCCAGAGTGGTCTTGAGTTAAAAGACTGGTTCAGCTCACTGGGGTATGCCTAGTATGCTCAAGAACCTGTGTTCAATCCCTCACAGTGAAAAAAAAAAAAAATACAGATAGACAATAGATAGATGGATAGATAGATAGATAATGATAGATAGAGATAGAGATAGAAATATAGATAATGATAGTGTTAAAGATAGAAAGATAGATAATGATAGAGGGATAAAGATAGAAAGATAAATAATGATAGAGAGAGATAGAGATAGAAAGGTAGATAATAATTGACAGATATAGATAGATAGATAGATAGATAGATAGATAGATAGATGGGAAAGAAAATGAATCCTCCTAATATATCAATGGAATAACCACAGATATAGTAGAAATCAACTCTCAGTTTACATAAATTTCTGAATGAAGTACAGAGAGAAAAGATTATGACATTTAAGCAGGTTGCTTTCTGGACTTTTACTCCCTTTTCCATCTTCAGTTTTTCTGGAGCTGCACAGAGCATGAGCTAGGGTTTCAAAGTTAGATGAACCAAGACCTGGCCGCAGTGGTTTTATCTTCCAGTTTATTTGCATAGAGACCATAAAGTGGACTCTTGGAAGAAGTACATGGGGATTTGCGGACCAGGCAGCAGGTCTCCTGTGTGTCCACAGGAGATAGTTGACAGGTCAGGAAGCAGAGGGAACAAAGAATTATTTCCAGGTTGTGACTCCAGTGAGAGGCCAGCTAGAGGAAAGCCAACAAGAACCCCTAGGTTTCCTGTCCCCAAAGGCCTAGGTTAGTGTTTCTCCATCTTAGCCTTGCACATGGCAATGGGTTGCTGTCTATAAAAGGGGGGAAGCGCTGACCTAGCTCTTCTTAGAATTATTCTGACAAATGAAAATTCTTTGGTGACTTCTAGATGCTCTGGGGCAGATTCATTCAAGGGCAGTTGATCTTTGATTTTAAAGAACCTAATATAAACTTATATGGAAATGTTTTTAATGTAACATGGTATATGTACATGTACAATGAATATAGACAGTGAAATGTAGTGGTGTCTTGCCTGTGAGCTTGTAACAGTGGCCACACCCTTTGGGCGTGGTCACAGGTACAAACATGACCTTTTTTAAGATAGAGGAGCTGGGTTTGGAGACCCCTTGGGTCTCAGAGGACATCAGGGAGGCAAGGACTACATCCTTCAAGCAGGAACACCACCACAGTTACTTCTGTTACCTATGTAAGTTCTTTCCCAATAAACACCTAATTATAATTGATCTTGGGTCTGTGAACTCATTATAATGCCTTGCCTTCATTTGGCGATCCAACGTGAGTGGATTCCCACCACCCGCCCACGAGACTGGCTTGGTAGTCAAGCTGGCCAAAATTCCATGACCCAGAGTCAACCACGCACAGCCTCACTGCATTTTGGGGTCCCACAAAGCAACAACCCATGCATCTGTAGTCTGTGCCACCTGAGTCTGCTATTACCCAAAGCCCAGCGAGTATTAGCAAGCATGCGTGCCCTGACTGCGTATGGGGATTTTCGTGCTAGCTCAAGTGGGAAGTAGTGTGTTGCAATTTGTGCGCATAGGAAGTAGCCATGGTTTTTCTTTCTGTGGCGGGTTTGCAAGACTGTGCCAGGTCTCTGGCTTGGTCAACATTTCCCAGCGCTCTTTGCATGCTGGGAACTAATCCCATTAGTTGCATGCCAGCAACTAATCCTGCTGTGTCAATAGCTCCTGTGGTTCTTACAGGTTGTGTCCTTTCTCCTCTCTAACAAAATTTCATTTGGTTGGATTTGTTGAGTGTTGCTTAGAAATTACCGATTGTAACAAAAAAAAAAAAAGAAAGGAAGGAAGGAAGGGAGGAAGGAAAGGGAGGAAGGAAGGAAGGAAGGAAGGAAGGAAGGAAGAAAGAAAGAAAGAAAGAAAGAAAGAAAGAAAGAAAGAAAGGAAAGGAAAGAAATCACTCTTATGGGAAAATGGCGACTTCCGCCTGTGGGCTGCTCCTGGGAGCCATATGCGCCACTCCAGCCGGTGCACAATGTTCTCACTGCCCTGCAGCATCGAGCCCCCAGCTCCCAAGGACTTGGGGCAGCGGAGTTCAGCGTTGCAAATTGCCCGACAAGGGTAAAAAGATCTTGGACACCGTTGCCAAACTGAAAGCTGCCATTGCAGAACGCGAAGAAGTTAAAGGGATAAGTGAACTGTTTGATCTTGTTAGTGTTGATTGTAAGCTAAGGCAAAGAAACAGCCACCAGAGTTGATATCGACGTAGACAAGGCCCAGGATTCTGACCTGATCATTAGTTCATTATTAGTCCTTGACTGTTCCTCTGTAGCTATTAAACCATCTAAAACAACCCCAGAAACACAAGGACCTGTACATTTCACTCACAAAGGCCGTGAAGAGACTTTGGAGGCTGACTGCACAGTGAACACTGTCCCGGTTCCCTGCAGTAAAGCCAGGACACCCTCACCTGAAGCTAACAAACATCTCCCCCAACACCCCATTTCAAGTCAAGTGGAAGGCATTTTCAGCAGCATTGACAGTTTATCACTAAGTTGCAAAAGATCACAACTGCAGACCAGAGTGAACCCTCAGAAGAAAACAGCTCTGCGAACGTGCCCGAGCTCCGGAGTGAGACTCCGGAGAGGCCTCATTATATGGAAGTGCTAGAAATGCGAGCCAAAAACCCAGTGCCCCACCACCCCCATAAGTTTAAGACCAACTTGTTACCCACACAACAGAGTGACTCACCAAGTCATTGTCAGAGGGGTGAGTCTTCTGCTTCCTCAGAAGAGTGGCGAGGCAGGGCTAGGCAACATCTTGATAACATCACAGCAACGTGCCTCCTTCAGCTCCACCACCTGCCTGCACAGCTGCTCTCCATACAAAAGTCGCTGGCCCTGCAGCAGCAGCAGAAACAGAATTAGGAGGAGATGCAAGCAAAGCTCACAGCACAGAAACTAGCTGAGAGACTGAGTATTAAAATGCTGAGCTACAATCCAGAAGGGGAGTCTGCAGGGAGATACGGAGATGATGCCCAGTCCTCTGATGAATTCCGAAGATGAGCACTGGGAGATTTCTCTCCAAAGCTGACTGTTGAGCCGTCATTGCCTCATAGCAAACTTCCTACCAAATATCAAGATCAGTGTCAGACCTTGTTGAGGGACAGCAGTTTTTAAAGTTACACAGAGGTAGCTACAAAATAAGAGCCCAGTTTGTCTTTTGGAAGATGATCTTCATGAGCTTGAACAGCTTTATATTTGAACATTGTGTTTGACCGTATTGTATTACAGTTTTGCAGTATGTTGTGTGTTGGTCTGATATTTTAGTGTGAGTAGGGCATACTTTTTCTTTAAGATAGCTGCTTTTTCCTTATTTTTACTCTTATCAAGTGGTGTTGCTTACATCCCTTCTGGTACAATATTTTGTTATCCCAGGCACCTAAAAATGAATTAGGAAGACCTGGCTCCTTTTCTTGATAAATGCAAGGAGCAGTCTAGAGAATGGTACACATGCTTGCATGGAGTTCCTGAGGAAGACACTTGATTTTTACAACAAGTGTTTATTTGCTCTTCCTATCTTTTGGAGTGACTGCTGTCTCCCTATGATGAAGATAAGAGCACCTTGAGGAGGCTCTGGGTGGGGAGGGTGCCCTGAGCTGGTTTGGGGAGC